GGGTGTAGGGGGAGATATCTGCGAACTTCCTGCATTGTGCAGAGGGTTGGACTAGATGATCATGAAGGTCCATTCCAACTCTATGATTCTATGAATGAGAGTTACATAAATACAAAAAAATCCAATGACTATAAATATATTGCAGACAATAAAACATATACACCCCAGCAAAGCAATATAGAGCTTTATCCACCAATAGCTTGGAGTTGGGGTACAAAGGAGTTGGGGTACAAATTCCTCCTACAATGAATAGTTAAATCATCTTGCTCAATGTGCCCTCACCTGCAGAGAAAGAGTGGTGACCAGAAACAGGGCTTTTTCATTGATTGCAGCTTTCCTTTGGAATGCCTTTCCCCCCTTCGGCCTTATCTGGTACCAGCCTTGTTTTCCTACAGGAACCAGCTCAAAACGTTTTTATCTGAGGGTCCAATCTTTCTTAATGATTTTTTCTTTGTGGCCAGCTTCTAGCCTGAGGACAGCTTTATGGATATTATTTTAGGTTGCTGAGTGTTGATTTTTATGTCACCAGCATGTTTTTATTAAAACACATTTAAAGAAACCTGAATCAATGCACATGAGAATATTACATAAGCTGGAAAAATGACTGTAAACATTATCATACTGTAGAAAACAAACCATATACACCCCAGCAAAGCAATACAGAACTTTGTCAACCAACAGCTTGGGGTTGGGGTATTTCAAGGATCACCTACTCCTATATTTATTTATTTTATTTTTCATTTGAAATATTTATCAGCCACTTTTCTCCCTTACAGAAGTGAAGGTGGCTTACAATATAATGAAAACATCATAAAAACACAATGAAAACAACAATTCGAGAAGCCATTAAAAGGCACAACTTAAAAACTCCAATTAGGACTGCCAATAAAAACCAAATCAATCAAATGCAATCCTGAATAAAATGGTCTTCAACTGCCTCCCAAAGATATGTACCCGCAAAATGAGCATCTTTAATTGGTGGGACAGTCAGGAGGGTATCTCCCTAGGAACCTTAATTCCTGGGGTGACCACTATTGATGGCAGCTTGCAGTTCAGTGCCTTTCCCCTTGAAGCTCACCTGGTATCAACCTTGCTTTCTTTTAGGAATCAGCTCAAAACATTTTAAACCGAGGGGTTCCATCTCTCTTGGTGCATTTTTTTTGCCAGCTTCTAGCTAGAGGACTGCTTTATGGATATCAATGTTAGGTTACTGAATGTTGGTTTTTATTATGTCACTGGCATGTTTTTACCATTTTTACTATTGATTATTCTTACGTTATTTTTATGAACATCTCTCCTGGGAGAGTGTTACGCTGTGCTGACAGCAAACTGCTGGTGATCCCTGGCCCCAAAGATATCCAGCTCTCCTTGACCAGAGCCAGGGCTTTCTTTGCCCTGGCTCTGAACTGGTGGAACTCTCTGCCAATTTCCACCAGGGTCCTGTGGGACTTAATGCAATTCAGCAGGTCCTGTAAGGAAGAGATGTTCACCAGGCTTTTGGTTGAGAACAGCAACAGTTTTCCATCATAGCTGGAACCCTCCTCTTTTCTTCCATTCTGCCCACTTTGGCCTCCTCCTTAACCTGCCCACGAGACAGAAGAACAGTCCAGAGTAGATTTTAAATTATGAACGCCATTTTGAGATTATCACATTAGGAATAATTGATCTGCTGATTTTAATCTGTATTTTTTTTGTATATTTTTAACCTGTTGTAAATTGCCCAGAGCTCTGTGTACTCAGGGATTAGGCAATTTAGAAAGTCAATAAATAGATGATAACGATTGTTTTTCTTTGTGAACCCCCACAAACAGGTCTTTGGAGAGGTACCATATAAAGTTTCTAAATAAATAAATTAGTGTGGACAAAATAATAGTGATGGTCTGGAATCAGAAAATCTGCTGGCTCAGTTGCCCATATGGATATTTTTTTATTTGCAGCTTTTATTAGATTTAGAGATTTTCTTAATTCCTGTAAAAAAAAAATTATCTGCCTATGAAGGACTTTATGAACTGCTGGACAAAGCTCCTTCATTAGAGAAAAAAATCAAGCATTTAATGGGCTTTTAAATAAAAGCACTGACTCTTGATAAAGACATTGGTAAGCTCCTGTTTTAACATAATGCATGCGAGCAAAGGAACACATGATTTCTCTCATGAGAAAGGGTAGGAGAAATCACAGATAAGACACAAGGCCACACCTATGCAGAAAGAACCTCTGTCAATTCATTCTGGAAGACAGAACACCAAAGCACACTTCTGAACTTAGGACTTTGCTCTAGTCTGTTTTAGACCCCAGGAGACCTTGAGAGGAAGCAAACACTTTATGTTTAAGGAGGCCTTTCTCTCCTGGTATGGGCAGTCTTCAAGTCCTTGTGCTGATGGGGGTGAGAACAGCCAATAGCTTCTCTCTCACACCCTAAACCTGATTATGATCACACATTTTCTTCAACAGTGGGTGTGGCCACAGGGAGGGGTACAAATAATAGAATATTGGCTGTGGCTAATTATGAGGTATCTGTGCTCCTAACTTCCCCACAAGAGCAGATGATTTTATTCTGGGTTAACCACAATGGATTAATTGCTCTCATACCTCCTTACAATCATAGCATAGATCACAACCATCATTTCATGCATTAACACACTGGCAGTCTAAGGGAAAAAACTGCCCTTAATTATCCTGTCTACTAGAATAACAGAGAGGGCTGTTCAGAAAATAAGTAATGAACCCTAAATTATATTCCAGATATGCCTGAGACTAACCAATTCCTACAGATTCCTAAACCTAGCTGCCTTCCACGCACCCCTGAGGCCACAGACCACGGGTCTTCAATTATGTAACCCACCAGAAGGCGCTCTGGTGTTAAACTATCCTTTCCACCCCCTAGGAATAATTAATTTAAAAAAGCATATAATAAGCAATATGGGGAAAAGAGGCCTACAATTTAGTAGTCTTTGAATGTAAAACAGCAGAATTGCATTGGAGATAAATATGGAAACGGTGCATGCCACTGATCCAATCTGTAGGAGTGGATGAGATAGTTCACAAGTAACCAGGGCCGGCTCACTCACTAGGTGAACTAGGCGCTATTATATGGAAACGGTGCATGCCACTGATCAAATCTGTAGGAGTGGATGAGATAGTTCACAAGTAACCAGGGCCGGCTCACGCGCGCCAGCCCTTAGGGGCGCCAAACTGGCACACACACCCCGCTGTCCTGGTTCAGCTGCAAACACTACTGAGTTTTAAACATGTTATGATCTTTCTGATGATACCAACACCAATTCCACCAAAGAACTTAGCCCTCTGGGCACAGAAGGGTCACTCAGCTGAGTCCTTATTACATAAGGACACTCAAGTTGCAACTGACTTATGGCAACCCCAGCAAGGAACTGTCAAGACAAGTGAGAAGCAGAGGTTGTTTGCTACTGCGAGTGCCTTTCTTTGCAGAGTCTTCCTTGGTGGAAGCCAGATGTGCAAAGCAGGCAAAGTTAAAAAAGGAGTTAAGAGCATGGGTGCCAGGGGAACGGGAGGTCCGGGGTACAGATCCAATTAATGTGTTGGTGCCATGGTGGGCGCACGGGGAGGGGGGCGCCAGAAGGGATCCTCGCCTAGGGTGCAAAGTAAGCTGGGGCCGGCCCTGCAAGGAACAAGGCCATACATTTCAGCCCAATCCTATGCACGTTTATTCAGAAATTCAGTCAGTTCAATAGAACTTACTTCTATGTGCACATATCTGTATTCTCAATACAAATTGCTTCACTTAAATGTGAACTCATACAGACAAATGTTAATATGTTTACTCAAATCCCAATGAATTTACAGCAAGATTCTGGGCAAATTTACTCAGAGTTAAGTAGCTAGTCAGGATTGCAACCCTTCCTTCAAATAAATATGCAATGGCTATAATTAAAGGTGAAAGTTTT